ATAATAAAAAAAAAAGAAAGACAAAAATTGTCAAATTCTGACAATTAACTTTCGGTTGAAATTCCATTTTAGGGCTGTTCCACAGCATAGCAGTTAAGGTGATGCAGAGGAAGCTAGATTCCACATGACTGACTGGGGTTCTATTCCTGGCCCTGGTGCCAACACAATGGATGCAAACATGTGTGCCCAGGATCCTGAAAGGGTGCAGGATTGGAGGAACAGGGATTATAGCATAACCTGGCCCCTTCAGGGGGTCTTTTTTCTTACTCTTTCTCTCTCTCTCATGCACACATGTACTCTATGATGAACAAAAGGACAAGCAATCATTTTTATAACTAGAATCATTTTTGAAACAAGTGAAAACCACAGGGAAGTTGCAAGTAGAGAGCAGAGAATTTCTCTTCCTGAACCCTGTGAACTAAGCCATCATGATGCTGCCCCCCATCTGTGAAGGATGCCATCGATGCCACATACTTTAACACTTGTTTTCTACAAACAGGCCGTTCTCCTAATACCCACAACAATCCCCAAAACAGATCTCACATCCATAAGGCACTACCACCTCATCCTCAGTCCCTCTTCAAATGTCACTAGTTATTCCAATTACGTCCTTTATAACCAAAAGCTCTGATGGATTTAGATATTCACCACCTCAGGACCAGCAGTTAGCGTAATGGCTGTCACTGGACTCCCATGTAGTCGACCGTGGTTCGAGTCCTGGACCTGGTGGCTTAAACTCACGCCGGGCGCGTGTGCGTGCGTGCCCAAGATCCCAAGAGGAGAACGGAGGAGAAGGGACTGCGGCGTGGCCATCCTCCCTGGGGGGTGATTTCTCGCTTTCTGTCTCTCTGTCTCTCTCTGTCTGTCTGGTGAGCGCACGCGCCCTATAGTAAAAACCTCTCCAAAATAAATAAATAAATAAATAAAATAGATATTCACCACCTCCTGGTTTGTTTCAGATGTGAGTTGTGGTGTTTTGTATGCTTCTTTTTTTTGGTTGGTCTGTATTATTTTGAAACATATGTGGAAAGATCTGAATTTATAGGGTTCCTCTTAACATGCTTAACATGTGTCAACCAGAAGTCTTCATTAAAACATTTGGAAGATTTAAAATTATTTCATTCAGTATCTATTTACTTATTTATTTATTTTTAGAGAAATTTTTGCTGTAGGGCATGTGTGCTTGCTGGAGAGACAGAGAGAGAGAGAAAGAGAGAAATTACTCCACAGGGGGGATGGCCACACCACAATTCCTTCTCCTCCTGGGATTTTGGGCATGCATGCACACATGTGACCAGCATGAGTTTCAAGCTGCCAGGTTCAGGACTCAAATCATGGTCATCCATGTGGGAGTTGAGTGTCTTAACCACCACACCACCTGCGGGTCAATGTGGCGTCTTAATTGCTTAATTTTTCATAGTAGTACAGATCATCTAGTATGAAGTATAGTGAATGCTTCACCAACACTGAAGTAGTCTACTTGCCTGGGGGGTGATTTCTCGCTTTCTGTCTCTCTGTCTCTCTCTGTCTGTCTGGTGAGCGCACGCGCCCTATAGTAAAAACCTCTCCAAAATAAATAAATAAATAAATAAAATAGATATTCACCACCTCCTGGTTTGTTTCAGATGTGAGTTGTGGTGTTTTGTATGCTTCTTTTTTTTGGTTGGTCTGTATTATTTTGAAACATATGTGGAAAGATCTGAATTTATAGGGTTCCTCTTAACATGCTTAACATGTGTCAACCAGAAGTCTTCATTAAAACATTTGGAAGATTTAAAATTATTTCATTCAGTATCTATTTACTTATTTATTTATTTTTAGAGAAATTTTTGCTGTAGGGCATGTGTGCTTGCTGGAGAGACAGAGAGAGAGAGAAAGAGAGAAATTACTCCACAGGGGGGATGGCCACACCACAATTCCTTCTCCTCCTGGGATTTTGGGCATGCATGCACACATGTGACCAGCATGAGTTTCAAGCTGCCAGGTTCAGGACTCAAATCATGGTCATCCATGTGGGAGTTGAGTGTCTTAACCACCACACCACCTGCGGGTCAATGTGGCGTCTTAATTGCTTAATTTTTCATAGTAGTACAGATCATCTAGTATGAAGTATAGTGAATGCTTCACCAACACTGAAGTAGTCTACTTGAATTGGATTTTCAGCAACGACACACACTACGATAAGCAGCCATGTATCCATGCTCTTTGGAACCTGTTTGGAACCTGGAGCTAGGACTGGGATTGCTGTGGGAATGGATGAGCTCATCTCCTATCGGGACATTGTTAAATCATGTCAAAGAACTAATTCCACTTCCATTCCTACCAACAATGTGGGTGAACTCCCTTATTCCTTTTCCTGTCTACCACTTGCCATAGCTACATTTTAAAATTATTCAATTTAATGGTAAAGAATGTTTCATTGTGCTTTAAATTTCTGTTAACTTAATTATTTGAGACATGCTAAACTTTTCACATGCTTATTTACTGTGAATTTCTCATCCTTTTCCAGTATTTTAGGAGAACCAGATTTCTTATTTTTTGTTAAGAGTGCCTTGCATATTCTGAGTACGAGTCTCCTGCTTGTGAGGGAATAAAATGACTTTTAACAATATGGGACCAGCTTTATATCACAGTGGTTAATTACTGTGCAGAGGAAGCTGGATTTCACGTGGCCAACCAGTGTTCTAGTCCCAGCTCCAGTAGCTCAAATTCTGGGCTTTGGTGTGCATGTGCAGTATCCTGGGGGATGGAGAATTGGAAGAAGAGATCGCTGCCTATTCAGGCCCCTTTGTAGGGGTGCTTTCTCTCTCTCCTCGCTTTCTCTATTTCTTCCTCTGTTTGTACACATCGTGCCTTCTGGCATAATTAAATAAAAAGAAAGGAGTTAAAACAACAGAAATCTATTTCAAAAAATAAAGATACTATGCTGTGAAGACTTGTTGTTCTTTTAAATTTTTGTATCACTTCATAGCCATCCATCTTAATAGGGGGCAATTTGATCTTCTGGTACACTGTACATTATATAATGATCAAATCAGGGTAGCATATCTATCACCATTCATTTAATATTTGGTGTGATGAGAATATTCAAAAACCTCTCTTCTAACTGGCTAGATGCGTGAAGCACCCTAGTGTTAACATCCACTGAGGACAGGCAAAGATGGAGTGAGTTGCCCTGCCTCCACCTTTTTCTTCTATTCAGACTCTCAGCGGTGAGAAGGTACCAGCCCACCTTGGTGAGGGAGGACCTCCCTTATTCAACCCATTGACACAAGTACTAGTCTCTTCTGTAAAGCCCTCACAGACACACCCAGGAATAATGTTTCACCTGCTCTCAGGGCAACCCTGAGCTAGTTGACACATAAAGTTAACCACGACATGGATCATTAAACAAAACGCCACGAAGTTTTTCAGAAAATTAATCTTTATTTAAATATTACTTCAGGGAAATAAATTTAGGGCTTAATAAATATCATAATGTTCTCTCCAGACAAGTTTATACTGAGGACACAGGAAGAATCTCTGAAATTCTGGAGTTTAACATCTCTTACTAGTCACATCATTGGTCATGGTTCAGAGAAGTAGTTGATTACTCGTAAACAAAGCAGAAAATTGTCTCATTGTCAAGCCTTTAAAAGTTTAGGTGCTGGGGCTGGCAGGTGTTGTGGTGGTTGAGGCGGCTGGACCTCCACAAGGCTGACTGAGGTTTGAGCCCCAGACCTGGCAGTTTGCTTTCTCACTTTCCTTCTCTCTGCCTCTCTCTCTCTCTCTCTCTGGTCTCCATAAGCTAGAGCTGCCTACATATATCGTAAACATAGAAAAAAAATTGAAAACATCAAAAAGAAAGTAACTTTAAATGTGGGAAGGTTAAAAATGCAGAGACCTCTAAGGAGGTTCCTGGAATTGAAAATGAGCATTTTTTTCTATCCTAGTGACTTAGTATATCTTCAAGGAGCTGGATCTTGCCAAGGTGTGTTTATGTGTGTGTACGCAATTTGCCAGAGGACTCATGCATTTGCCAGAGAGAGAATGGTGGAAAGCACCCCCCGTGTAGCATGGGGCTTGGTCACCCTGCAAGCCCTTCTCTTCACCACTCCCTCCTTTCAGGATTTTGGGCATGCAAATACATGTGCCTGGCATGTTTTTCAAACCACCAGGTCTGGGACTCAAACCACGCCATTGGCCATGTGGAATCCAGCTGTATTAAATCACCATGCTATAGGCTGGCCTGTTTATCTATATTTTAATATTGAAAAATCATGACTGCCTATTATCTTTCCTTTTATTTCCTTCTGTCTTTCTCATTTTCTTTTTTAATTTTCAAGTTGGCATTGCTGTGAGGTATGATATTCAGGCATTTTTCCCCTTGAAAATGGCAAGAGAGTTTTTATACATCTTGTTAATTACTTGCCCCAGTCTTCTAATATTTAGTTTTAGGTTTATTTTTTAATTATATGGAGACATAAAGTTATGTCATGAATAAAAATGTTCTAGTCTGATAACTTAGAGAACGGCAGCATTGAATATAGAAGTAACGTACCATAGATTTCTAAATTCTTACTTGAAGGATACAGAAATTATAGAAAGATTATTTACTGAAAATGTGTTTATTGAGTATTCTTGCAACTATATATTCACCAAGGGTCCCAGCAAGATCTTGAGTTCTATGAGGGCAGTTGCCTTCTGCTATGGTGTTCGTTCTGGAAGGCATCAGCCTGAAATGTACTAAGGTAAAGCTTCCCTATTAGCTGTTCAGTAGATGCTGAGTGAGTGAGCCTTTCTGCAGGTTGGGCCCGTGTCAAGTACTGGAGAGCAGGTCACATTTGAACCAATTGTGGATCCTGCCCTGGAACACTGAGAGGTATCCTTAGAAGCTGCATCTCCCATCTGTACACTCCTTATGCTTCCCAGGAAGAAAATTAGCAATGTCCATCAATCATCCAAAAAAGAATCAGCCAAACCAAGTATATACAACTGCTCTCTCTCTCTCTCTGGTCAACTTCAATAAAATAATAATAATAATAATGACAATGAATAAAGTTAAATAATTATTTAAACAAAAAAAGTTTAGGTGCTTAGGCAGGAGTATGGTGAAGCAAAACGTAACATTCTACCAGGCAGAACCGTGTGGGAAGGCAGTCAGTTCAGAGTTCAGGTCCAGGACCTCCCTGAGTATGCTGGGCACACACGCACACATGGTCCAGGCTGGCTGACGCTGGGGCGTGTCAAGACCCTGTAAGGGCTGTGTATCTGTGTTTCTCTCTTGAGCTCATGTTTCTCACTTTTCCTCATGGAACAAATACACAGATTTTTCAAAAAACGTTAGGGGAGGAATTCCATGAGTTGGCACCAAGAGAAAATGGCCCAAAATGTTAAGAAGAAAGTGCTGACTAGGATAATCCAAAGGGAATAAAGTACATGAGGTGTCGAGCATACAGTATTCCTGAGGCCTCTGGATTTCTCAAGTCTGAGGTGCTGGTGGTCTAGAGAAAAATATAGCACATATTGGTCCGATAACCAGCCAGTAGGAAGAGTTGTTCCACTTGACTATACTTAGGAGCGTCCTCCTAGAGGGATCTTCAACCTTCAGAAAAGGAATAAATGTCAATACAAGTGTCCGAGGAAATCTGGGCCAGGACTCCTGGGGCTACCCCATGCTGACCACTCCCCATCTCAGAGCCTGCTCTCACTAAGGGGAGTGGGTTCCCCCAGCCCCCACAACTGGCCCCTGTACCTGTGGCCATCTCTCCCCTCCTGTCCCATATCAGAGTCAGCCCAGGTCCTACTGCAGACCGAGGTGGCTCAGGACTGACGCTGCTGACCATCATGATGGGGTCTGCTCCCTCCTGATGCCCCATCTCACAGGAGGGCCTGAGGACCAGGTAGCTCCATCCAAAGAGGAGTCTGGAACTCGGTTCTCCAGACCTTGGGTAGGATGGCTGGCAAACATCCTTCTGTTCTTCCCTGTCAGTTTCTGCTCCCTGAGAGACATGCCCATAGCTCTGAGTGTGACGGTCCCTGCCTGCCCCACCCATCCTGATCAGCTCAGCTGGGACCATCGGATTCCAGCAGCAGCCCAGCCTCACAGGTCTCCAGAGATGGCTCTGCTCAAAGCAGAGCTCAGCTGGCTGTGGATCCGGAGTCTGCAGGAGGCTGGCTGCCAGGGCTTGCCTCAGGGGTGAGCCTGGGTTCCCAGGGGTCCAGGGAGGACTGAGAGAGGACTGTACCCCTACAACCTCTTCCTGGACAGTCTCTCTCGTTACCTTCTGACTCGACTGCTGTGACCCAGGCCCCTTTTGGTGAGATGGCAGCCCTGAAACCAGCTTTCTCACTCAGGTGTGCAAAGCCCTACATGGCTCCTTCTTCCTGGACTGGGGCCAGGCCCTTTGCTCTCAGTATCCCGAATGAAATTCCCTCCCCTGGACACACCATCTGAAACTAACAGGGTACTGGGCCTACCCACATCTGAGCTTGTGCCACTTTTATGTTCTCATAGTCTCCAAACACCCTCCTAGTACACCCTTCAGCAAGAGAACCTGCTCCAAGAAAGCATGGCTTGTGCCTCCCCTTTAGTGTCAACAGGCCCACCCCTGGGTAGGCCCCATCCTCTCCCTGATTTGTGACAGTGAGGATCTGCCAGAACTCAGGCCTGAGCTTGCCCAGGGTGTAACCATGAAGTGACACACTCCCTAATTCACCTGGTCTCACAGCCAGGGTAACCAGTCCAGTCAAGGGGCAGGAGGGACTCTGGGAATTCACTTTCTGTTTTCACACCTCACCACTCTGTCCCTGGCTCCCCCCACACCCCGAGTTCTACCCACTGTACCTGTCACTCTAAAAGAACCAGGAGATACAAAGTAGGACAGAGATGGTGAGGATCACAGGGAAGCTCCAGGGCCTAGCCCCATTGGCTGTGTCTGGGGCCATGGTTGGCGAAGCTGAAAAGGAAACACCAGAGTGACAGCCCTTGTCCAGCCCCAGGTCTGAGGATTTGCCTCCTTGGCTCCTGCCATCCCAGGCGTCCAGCAATGCCGATGGTTTCTACCCTCTGTATGTGACAGCTGTGGTGACAGATCCTAGGGCAGGCGGGCAGAAGGGATGGACCCTGACCTCAGGTGTCTGATGCAATGGCTGAGGGAAGCCAGGGTGACCACACACATCCCCCCTGCTGTGGCAGTAGAGGTGACCCGTGAGGAGGAAGGGAGGAAGGATCTCAGGAGCTGGTATGTGCCACCAGATGGCTGTCATTCTCCAACACACACACACGCCTGTGCACACACATGCACGCACAGACCCTTGCACTCACACACACATTCCCACGCATACGTACATACCCTGACCCCCTTGCACACACACACACACACACACACACACACATTTCTATGCACGCACCCACGTAAGCACACCCAGAACAAGCATGTAGGAGGTGGGTAGGTCCCATCTCAGCAGAGCTACCCCTTCCCATCTTCTCTGGTACCTGTCGGCTCCAGCACCTCCTCCCAGCACTTCAAAAACTCCTCCAGCCAGCTCCCGCAGTCTCCCAGTGAGACCTTCTCTAAGAACATGGCCATCTCCCTGTCGTTCTCCCACTGCTCTTTCATTTCGTTGACAGCATCATGAACCACGGTCCACATATCTTTCTCCGGGTCAAAGAGGAGGAACGTCTGTCCATCAAAGCCGAAGTGCCAGGCCCCACTGGTGTGTCCACTGGCGTCACACTCACAAGACATCCTGGCCTGCAGGGGGAGAGACCCTGCCCCATAGGAAAGACATCAGCCTCTGGGATCCACAAAGCCTTTGTCCACCTCTACCTTCCTATCTGCTGGCCCTGCGTGTCCTCCACACCCTGCCCTGTGGCTGGACTCCTGGGGAGACCAACTTCTAATTTTATTTTATTTCATAAAACCAAAAAATGCTGGGGGCAGGAGGTGGCATGGTAGGTAGGGTGCTAGACCCCCACATGGGACCAGGGTTCAAGTCCCAGACCTGATGACTTGCTTTCTCACCTTCCCTCTCTCTTTTTCTCTCTGTTGAGCATGTGTGCCCTATAGCAAATTAAATAATAACAGTTAATACATTTTTAAAATAAAATAATTAAATCCTAAAAACAAAAATAAATGCCTCTACCTACACAGTATCTCCATTCCCCAGTTCTAGCCATTTTCAACTTACCCTTGATCCCGTAATTCTCTAGTTTAATGTCACGCAGTTTTTTCTGGAGTTGCTCCCCAGCGTCTTTCAGCGTCGTCATCTGAACGTTCCAGGCACTTATGTTGTCCACCTTCTTCCCCAGGTCACTGATGAGGTTGACCTTGTCGTTGCCACAGTCATAGGAAAGGAAAACCTTCCGATCCACCTGGCCTTGAACCTCACACCACCTATGTCCACCCTCTCCTATGATGGTAAAGTCATAGGAAAGAGCGTGAGCATCTGGGGAAAAAGCAAGAGAGGGTCAGGGTGGGAGAGGACGGACTCAGACTCCGCAGCTCCGTGAGACGAAGGCAATTGGTCAGGCTCTCTGAGGGCCCGAATGACGATTGCAGAGTGCCCTCCCCGCTGAACGCCCGCCCCACCTCACCCTGAAATAGTAGTGCCCTTCTCTTACTTGAGAAGGAGGAGGCCTCAGCCTGGGTAGAAGCCACATGTCCCCAGACACGCCCTCAGCCCTCCCCACCAGGCCTGTACCGAGGTCAGTGGTCACAGGACCTGCAGGGAGAGATTGGGCCTGCAGTGGGAGGAAAGGCCTCCTGGGTAGATCTTCAGAGCACCCCATGGACTACGGGATGGTGGGGAGTCTAGGCAGGGCTACTGAAGGTCTGAGTCAGGGTATGGGGGAAGCCCAGATTCATACTTGTACAAAGGGAAGTGTGTTGTCATGGGAACATGGTCGCAGGTCCCAGGATTTAACAGGCTGGCAAAGTCCTTGAGCTGATGCCAGCCTGCTATGAGGATGGCCTCTGGACCCTGGCCCAGCAGGAGCTCACACTGCACCAACAGACGTTTCAGGGCAGACAGGAAAGGAAGAGATCAAAGGCTGAGAATCTTGCTCACACGGGAGTGGAGGCAGTGGGGAGAGTCGGGAAAGTGTCCAGTCCACCAGGCCTCATGGCAAAGGCTGGGGAGTTTTATTTATTAATATGGAAGCAAGTCCATGGACTCAACAGAGTCAAGGAGAGGGAAAGTGAGGAATCACCCCTCTTGGGACACGTTCATATCATAATCCCATTTCTTCTGTTCTCCTCTCTGGGTTTAGTGCACATATGCACACATGACTGATGTGTTTCTCAAGCAACTGGGCCCAGACTCGAACCCCGCAGTCAGCCATGAGGACTCCAGCCGCCTTAACCACTACACCACCAGCCGGCACAAGGTGTCTTGTTAAACACATGAAGAGGCACAGGGGAAGGCACAGACTGCCGGGAAGCTCAGTGGTGACTGCTGCTGACTGCCAGGGCTGGGACAAAGAGATTCCCCAGATGGACTCCCCAGTAGTAATGGGGATACGAAAAAACCTCCAGAGAACAGATCCCAGGTGGAGGCAGGAACCTTTGGAAGCAAGGAGGGTGTGATGATACGGCTGGAAGGTGGGATGCCAATCAGGACTCGCCACATGGAGTGATATGACTGTCACTTATATACCACAGGCATCCTTGGGGCCCACTGGCAGGTACAGCTGGACTGAAATAATGTCAGAAATTAAGAGAAAGCACAAGATCTGCAAACAGGAGGCTCAAAGCAGCTGCCTCATGACAAAGCCAGGACTCAGCCACTTCTCAGACAGAACCTGACCCAGTTCTGGAAGCAGCATGCAGGACCAGTGAGGATGGTCTCTTCCCATCTCCCCAGAGAGACATGTGGCCCCTACCCTTGCCCTCAAGGACACGCTGCCCATGTTTCTGGGTCTGAGGGCCATGCAGGCTCTGTCCTGCCACAGTAGTTGGGAGGCAGCCATAGACAACACGGATGGTGTGTGCCTGACCACCACCAGGGCCCCTGACCCAGGACAGTCTATGACCCTAAGCCATCTGTGGTAGCAAAAGGCACAAAGTAAATCAGGGCAATTCCTAACTGGGAAGTCACAGCCCAATGCCTGGTGATTCGAAGCAAGGCCCTGGCTCTCATGGCAGGGAAATCGCACCACTTCAAAGTGGCTCCTGGTCTGGTCCTGATCCTCAGGGAGAAAGGATCTCTCAACATGGGATTCCAGTGACCACACACCTGGGTGCTGTGGCCAGGATGTGGGCTCCTCACCCAGCTGGTCACCAGGACCATGGGCCCAGCACTCACAGGACAGACATGATTGTCCTGGAACAGGCACGAGCAGGGCCACAGGGACAAAGCAGCAGCACGATCAGGTGGCCCTTATCCCCTGGACGCAGCATGACTGCACCACGACCTCACCTTCAGCTCCCACGTGTGGCTCAGGGTGTGTCCCTTCTGGCCCACGTGGACCAAGGAATCTACTAGACAGCAAAGGAGGGAAGCAGTAGACCCCAACCATAGTCGCAACTCACACCCCATCACCTCGAGTGCACCCAGAGCCACAGGCAGGACAGGACCTGCTTTGGACTCTTAAACAAGTGGCTGAGACCTCACTTGGAGAAGACACCTGGGGTATGGGGCTCTGGTAGCCGGGCGCTGAAGATACCCTAATCTCAGTTTGGTAAGCAGGACAGGCCAAAATTGGTCTCCACTGGATTTTAGTTCTTGGCTGGCTGATTTCACAATACGAGGGCAAACCTGGGCTATTGGTACAGAGACAGGTACCCAGTGGCCCACAGTATGGAAAATGATTGCGCTCTGCCCTTTATAGAAAATGTTTCTCGGGCCAGCCCTGGGGTGCATTAATAGGGAACCAGATTCCAGCCCTGGTGGTCTAGAAAGATGCCGGGTGATGTAGGCGGGTGTCCAAAACCCTGAGCTGATGGAGAAGTGGAGGAGAAACACAGTGATGTGACCCCGCTCCACTGGGGGTCCTTTTCTCTCTGTCAGAAGAACACACACTCTCTGGCAATTAAAATAAATTTTTAAAGGAACTTTATAAAAGATCATGATTTTTTTATTCTTGACTATTACATACGATTATTGTATCTGATGCTGTCTCCTAAGAGGTAGAGCCGCTGACCTGGGAGCAAAGTGTACAAGCAGCCCCAAGTCATCATCCTAGGGCCAGCCTGGGGAAATGGGCCCCTCCCTCCTACTTTAGGGTCTTAGGTGAGGTTGGGATGTGTCCCTGGCTGTCTTCAGGCAGCAGTAAGTTGGCGGGGGAGTTGGTTAGTTTGTGAAGGGAAGTCTGAGTGGGTGGGTCCTGGGGGCATGGGGCGGGATGGCAATGAATCTGGAGGGGACAGTGGCATGTGGCTGGGGAGCCCTGGGAAGCCCCGTGCAACAGGGGGCGCGCCAGGTGCAGTGGAGGAACTGGACGGCCTGTGCGGAGTCTGTGTGGGCAAGCCCTGGCTGGCGTCTGTCTGTCTCATCCCTGAGGGGTCACCCTACTCCCGAACACGCCCCAGTCCCAGTGGCACACATTTAGCCGTCCCTGAAGGAGTGGGGCCAGGGGTTTAACCGCAATTTCCAAGGTCCAGTCTGGTCTCCTCCCGTCCCGCCCCCGCCTCTTTTCCTGCCCTTACTCCTTGGCCTGGTCACCATTCAGCCAAGCCCAGGCAACTGGGGCTGGCGGGGCACAGAGAAGGGAATGAAACCGCAGCAGGCAAGCTGTGACATCAGCAGAGAATAGGCAGAGGCTGAGGAAAGTGGGGACTAGCGAGTCATGGGGAGAGTGATGGGGAAGTCGGGTGCAGCGGGGCGGTGGGTGCCAGACTGCAGAGCCGGGAGGAAGGCAGGCCGGGTGGTCAACAGGTGGCGTAATGGTCTGGTCGCTGGACTACAAGGCCCGGGGCTGCTGAGTCTTAACCGGTGGTTTGAAACACACAGTGGTGCGTATAAGCGTGCCAAGATCCCAGGAGAGTGGAGAAGGGGATGCAGCCGGCCCTCTCCGCTGTGTGTGTGTGTGTGTGTGGGGGGGGTGATAAATCACTTTCGCTCGCACTCTCTCCCTCTCCAGCGAGCACACGTGCCATATGGCAAAAACTTCTTTAAAAATAAAAGTGAGCGAGTGGGGCGCAGTT